AAAATTTTGGGTTGAATTTTTTGAGTTTTGAGTGGTTTTTAGGTGTGACCTAGAAATGAATTGGGGTTTTTTGAGTTTGAGATAGTTGCTGATGATAAGGTGATAAAATGATAATGATACGAGATAAGGGGATGGTTATCAGGCGTGATAACTGAGTGATAATGGTGATAACGGAGTGATAACTTAGTGGTATTTGAGGTGGTTGTGAAATGCGTACGCACTGAACCAACGTTGGTGTTGTGTCGTGCCCGACACGGTCTGATGTTCTGCAATAAGCTGGGCGCTGCATGCGCGAAACTTACCCAGAGCACGTTCCCGAGTGATCTGGCAATGGTGGGCATGGACGCGAAAATACCCGAACTGGTAGCCAAGTGCATGATCGAGGAACCGTATGTGGCCATCATGATGGTCGAATACGGCTTCACGAAGATGGACTCGTGGATGAGCACTTGCAAGATCACCGTTTGGAACGGGCCGATTACGGTCGTACAGAAGGAATGCGTCAAGAAACGTGAGTTTTGTACTGTATCCATTGTTAAGTTACTCTATTTAGGGTGCAGTTACTGTAAAGTTACTGTAATTAATGTAATTGCTAGAGATTTATTTGAGTAATTAGAATTGTTGTGGTGAGTAGTGGCTGGAGTAGATGATTTGGGGAGATATAGGGCAGAAAATTTAGGAAACGGAAGGAAAATTTCGTTGCGGAGATTCGAAAATGTTGGAAATTCGTTGAGATTTGTGGAATTTTTGAGAAATTTTTGGAATTTTTGTGGAGATTTAGAGATTGTGAGATTTCAGAGACTCTGCTGCCGGATCCACGAACGGTGTGCGTGAAGAAGTACGGATTGGACTTCTGCAATAAGCTGATAGTGGCGTGCTTCGAGGTGAAGAATAAGAAGATAATCGGGGACGTGCCGTGTGCTGCGTGTGAACTGCCGAATGTTGTGAACACTTGCTTGTCACAGGGTTGGTTTGGGCATTTTGAGATTAGAATTTGAGATTTTGAGTAGGGTTCGAGTGGAATGGCGAGTGGAACAGGTCAAAAATCTGAGGTGTGATTCATTTGTGAATGGTGTGAAAAAATTTTGGTTTGTGGGATTCATTGGAGATTAGAATTTGAGCGGTTTTGAGGGGAATTCCTTGCAGATTGGCTCAGAAAAATCTTCGATGGATTCCTGCATTTGTGACTGTTTTGAAAAAATTTTAAAGTTTTCAGAAAGGAAAATGAAAATTGAGTTTTCAGAGGATGCAATTGCGATGTGCTACGCGAATCACGGAGCTGCATCGTGTATCGTCTGGATGAAGGCCTGCAAGATCCGTCCCATGGATGCCTTAACACAACAGCAAGTGACCTGCATCAAGAAACGTCAGTTTTCACTTACATCTCGAAATATTTCAGCTTTTTTTTCAGTGGAATTCCGTTTTTTGATCAATTTTCTTAGAAATTTTCAATAGGTCAGTTTAATTTTTGTGATTTTCTTGTGAAATCATTCACATTTTTATGTTCTGAATGGAACGCTTGGAAGATTTCCATAGGATTATCCAAAAATATAGTGCAATTGGAGGTATTTAGAGAGAATTTTATGTGATAATGAGAGTGTACGTTTCAGAGGCAGAGGCGTCGAACGTGTTGATGGTGTGTGCGAAGAAGTACGGCATGGTGTTCTGCAAGAAGATGAGACTGGCCTGTTTTGAGGTGATGCGTATTCCGATGCCGAGTGACGAGAACGAGGCGGCGAT